TGTAAGAAATACAAGTAGTGGAAAAATGAAACAAGACGAAACCAGAGAGGGACACAAACCATAAGAGACTCTTAATCTCAGGAAACAAACTGAGGGTTGCTGTAGTGGAGGGGGGTGGGAGGAATGGGGTGGCTGGGTGATGACATTGCGGGGTGGTATGTGCTATGGTGAGCGCTGTGAATTGTGTAAGATTGATGAATCACAGACCTGTACCCCTGAAACAAATAGTACATTATATGTTAATAAAAAAAAATATATATGTAGTAATTAGAAAGTCAATAATAACAATGGCAAGGGAAGGAGTGGGAGCTACAGACAGATGATATAACCCTCAATAGAGGTGTGTTTATACAAAGGTGGAGGGGTAGTAGTCTGAAGGCAGCAGTGTAGAGCAAGAAAAATGTGATGGATATCCCCATCCCCCCCCCACATCATATGGGCAGAAGGACAGTGAACAACCCAGGATCGGAAGTGGAGATAAACAGGTAGAGGGAGTGTTTGGGGGAAAGGTGGAAATTCAGTGGTGGTTGACAAAGAATGAGGATCCCACAGAGTAAGATGAGAAGGGCTGATGGATTTGTCAATAATGGGAGGATGAAAGGTAGATTTGGGGTGAACAGAGAACTGAACTGGGTGGGGGCGGGGAGAACAGAAGAAAGAGCAAATGACCAGAGGAACTTGCACTTTGGGTCCTGGCAAAGGATGACAGTTAGTGACAGGCATGGCTGAATTAACTGGCCTCAAGATGCTGCCTGGATTTCTGCCATCAAATGACTTTTTAGCCTGGCAGAAGCATTAGGCCCTGGTGATGTCTGAGACAGGATGACATTTGGTGTTTGTGTCCCAGTCAGTAGTTTGTAGCCTTCAGAAAGCAGTTGGTTTCTGCTGTAGTAAAGCCCAGTCCAATGATGGGAAATCAGTTAGGCCAACATGAGACTAAAAAGAATTACCGGCATTGGTAAAACTCTGGCTTTGGTTATTTTATTTTATTTTTTTTACAAAAGTTTATTCTTAAATGTACAACAGGATCTAAGACAACACTTCATTCCAGCTCTAGGTAGCAAGAGATGCTATGACAGGGAATCCAGATGTTTAAACAGGAATGGAATTAAGGATCATCATTGTCTTGGGCACAAGGAACAGCTTACTTTTTGCCATGTTTCTTAATTCCAACTGTGGCCAGGGGGCCCTTCCCCACGGCCTTCACTTTTAGCTCCTCGAGTTTCTTCTGCTCCTCTTTCTTTTTCTGCTTGAATGCCTTATCTTCCTTGTCCATCTCCTTGGCCTGCTTCTTGGGCTGCTTCAGGGGCTTCTTCTTGCCACCTTTGCGGCCGGACATGGCGCCTGCCGCCCCTTCTCCAGACCCTGCCACCGGAAGTGGAAACTCTGGCTTTGGTAGAGAAGGTTGCTATGGTTAAGTTCAGGCAGGCTTATCTAACATTTGAGGGACCTGGAGCAAAAGGACAAATGGAGGTCCCTGGCCTGTGGTTTACCCTGTTGTCTTCTCAGCCCTGGCTTTGCTCTGCACCAGGAGGAGTCCTGGGGAATCCCCAGTCTATGCATCCAAGTTTCATCCACTAAATCCTGACAGCTGTCTTGTGGCTGCCATTCAGGCCCAGAAGGGAGGACACTGTTGGCTAGGTTTTTGCTCAGGAGGTTTGTCCTGGGAAATTATCCAGGCAGTCTGAGTACCAAGAACCTCAGAATTCCATGGTTAATGGATGGTATATTCTTCTAAATGTTTGCATATATTGTACAATAATTGCTTTCTTTAAAACATAAACATATCATGGCTATGTTTATCAGTTGGTATGCATAGACATACAATGTATTTTAAATAGCATAATTTTTGCTAAGTGATGGGGTAATCATTATTTATTTAACTAGCATTAAGATTATTCCTCTTTTTTTTCCACTATTACAGTGTTGGAATTTGCCCACTCATTTCACATATGCTTATTGAACACCTACTGCTTTAAACTATAATGAACTTTGTGTCCTTTTAGCAACTGAAATTTTGGCTTTTATCTGTTACAGCAGCTTAAACTTCCCAAATTAATGCTTTTGGTTTTCTAGGCAGATAATCATATCATCTGGTAAGAGTATTTTAGTTTTGTAAGGAACTGCCAAACTGTCTTCTAAAGTGGCTGTACCATTTTGAATTTCCACCGATGACAAATGAGAGTACCTGTTGCTCCACACCTTTACCAGCATTTGGAGTTGTCAGTGTTTTGGATTTTGACCATTCTAATAGGTGTCTGGTGGTATCTCGTTGTTTTCTAGTCCCATTTTGACACTCTATATTCTAAATGAAAGCTGTCTTTGTCTTGAGATTCCTTAAATACTCTAGAATTATGTATTCCACTTTCTCTCCTGCCATATACTAAGAAGCAGAATGAGAATAAGGAAACCTTGGAACAGAAGGAAATGCAATAAATAAGTTTAGGCTTGTGGGACAGGACTGTGTGTGTGTGTGTGTGTGTGTGCACGTGCACATGTGCTGAATAGGCCTTGCACCTCTGCTCATTAATTCAGAAATCCCTCTAACTCTAGAAGACAATTCAAATATATATAGGGAGGTTGGTAGAGTAATTGAGGATCTGTGAGAAAACTTGTGTCACTAGGGCTCGTGAATTCATAAACTAATTTATCATCTTTTTTATTATTTAATGAATAGGAATTACAAGGAGGGTGAAAGTTAATTAAATGAGTTTTTTAGGAAGAGTAAGAATGGGGGGCTGAAGAGAAACCAAGGGTATCTGGTAACTTATTATAGCATCTTGAAAACTGGGTAGGTAGGTTTTGAGACCCTTTTATATGAGAAAATATACTTGAAGCAAAAATCATGCAATATTCAAGAGACTTTAATTTTAGGAAGGATTGTGTGATAGACAGAATGATGGCCTCCCAAAGATATCCATGCCTTAATCTCTAGAACCTGTGAATATATTACCTTCCATGGCAAGAGACTTCGCAGATGTGATTAAATCTTCAGGTGGGGAGATTATTCTGGATTATCTTGTGGGTCCACTGTAATCACAAGGGTCCTTATAAAAGGGAGGCAAGAGGGATGAGTCAGACAGAAAATGTGAGGACAAGAGCAGAAGTCAGAGAGGAGAGATGATACACTGCTGGCTTTGAAGCTACAGAAAATTGCCATGAGCCAAGGAATGCAGCTCACCTCCACAAGATGGAAAAGGAAATGGATTCTCCCATAGAGCCTCCAGAAGGAATGCAGCCAGGAAAACCCATTTTAGGCTTCTGACCTCCAGAGCGATAAGTGAATAAATTTGTGTTATTTTAAACCACTAAGTCTGTGGTAATTTGTTACAGCAGTAATGGGCTGTTTTACCCACAACCCTTCTATCACCAAATGTGTGGGTTTTCCACACCAAGCAATTCTCCAATTCTCTGTGGATACCAGTTGGGTGTTCTACAATTTAGTTCATTTCTGACACTAACTACCCAGAGTTAGTACAGACTCCAAAGATTTAGGGCTCAGACTCAAAGACAGCTCCCACTTCAGATGCCCGTCTCAAGTCCCAGCTGCATGTACTGCAGACCAACTAGTTACAGATTAGGGGTTTCCATGACCCCCCCACCCCCCTCAGTTTCAGTAGTTTGATAGAATGGCTCACAGAACTCAGGAGAGTACTTACTATTACCAGTATATTTTATAGAGGATATTATAAAGGATACAAATGAACAGCCGGGTGAAGAGGTGCATTGGGCAAAGTCTAGAAGGCTCCCCAGCACAGAAGCTTCTGCCCTATGGAAAAGGGGTGCACCACACTTCCTGCATGTATTCATCAAATCAGAAATTCTCTGAACCCTGTTGTTTAGGGTTTTTAAGGAGGCTCCATTACACAGGCATGATTGCTTAAATCAAAGCTCATTGGTGATTAACTCAATTAGCTGCTCACCTTTCCCTTGAGATGGGGGAAGGGGCTGAAAATTCCAACCCTGTAATCACCTGGTTAGTTTCTCTGGCAACCAACCTTCATCCTGAAGCAATATAGTAGCCCACAAAGAGTCACCTCATTAGCATTAATTCAGGTATGGTTGCTGGAGGGCTGATTATGAATAACAAAAGATATTCCTTCTTACCTCTATCACTTAGAAATTCCAAGTGTTTCAGAAACTCCTGTGCCAGGAAGGGAGATGAAGATATGTATTTCTTATAATCACAATATCATAAACAGCATTAGGAAGTAAAAATTGTCTTAAAGTTTGGTTTCAGGCAAAATAAAATAGAAAAATCTATTAGTGTGAGCTCTTGGAAACTTGATAAGTATGTTTTGTTTATTTGCTATTTTCAGTTATTATATGTTGAAGTAATAGAATGGCTCATTGTGACTACCAAACTCAAAATAGGGGAGGAGAGGAAAAAATAAAACAAGATGAAACCAGAGAGAGAGAGAGAAACCATAAGAGACTCTTAATCATAGGAAACAAACTGAGGGTTTCTGGAGGGGAGGTAGGTGGGAGGATGGGGTAACTTGGTGATAGACATTAAGGAGAGCATGTGATATGAGCACTGGGTATTATAAAAGACTGATGAATCACTGACCTCTACCTCTGAAACCAATAATACATTATCTGTTAATTGGATTTAAATAAAAAAATGGAGGAAAAATAGATTGGATTAATGAAAGTAGAGAGATACCAAGACATCATGAAGGGGATCTATTAGTGTCTGATAGGTCCCTAGGTGTTAGCAAGTTGGTATTGCTGAGACTAGAGCTCAAGCCTCTTCACTGATGAGGACCCTGTACCTGTTATTGATGTATTGCTTCTCAGCTCCAGTTCTACCCTTTGTTGTCCTGCTTGATAGCAGAGATGGATCTTATAAGCATTTCTTTATTTACTTCCTGGCACCATGTTAAATTTTGTCAGTAGAGGGCAAAAGAGGAACACTTGCAGGTAGGGGCTTCTCTTCCAGTTGCAGATGTATTTTTCCCTCCTTCTTGTTCCTATGGTGCTTGGCCATCCTGCTGCAGGACACCCCATGGAGATGACCTTCAACAAGTGTCAGTGGTATCAGCTGCAGGCAGCTTCCTGGAAAGCTGCTTTCCAGTGAGTTTATTACCACCCTGGTGGGTGCCTTCCAGGTAAGTTCTGTGGGTACCTCCAACAGCTTCCCCGTGAATTCCACAGCAGCCTCTGATGGCAGCTTCCTAGTGAGTTTCATTGGCATCCAGTCATGGTTCTCTGCCCACCAGCCTTATCCTAGGGCAGCCCAGAAACTTCTCTGCCATCCAGCAGGCTGCAACCACAGCCCTCTAATCAGGTCTGATTTCAAACCTTGGGGAAGGGACCCCTTCCAAGTGTGTTTCTTCCTTGGGTTCTCTCACTGAGACCTTGGGTAATCTTAAAGTTCTCTTTTGGTAGCTAATTTCCTGTAAATAGTTAACAATTACTTATAATAATTATTTATATTAAGCCATCCCTGTTCAAATTTCTGTAGGGTTTCTATCTCCTTTGATATTAGGACATGAAGCCAAGAAAAAAATTCATGTTCCACATGGGGCTAAATTCACACTTTATTATCTCTTCTCTTCAGAATCCTTATCACAGTTATGTTTCTTTTGGATATTTTTGTTGTTGTTCTAACATGGATTTTGATATTGCTTACAAACATTTCCCCAGTACATATTGTATACTTGCAAACTAGTCAGAGTGTCTAAAAGCAGTGCACAAAAGATATGTTAAGAAAAAAAAAGAAGAAGAAGAAGGTAGCGTGAGGGGAGGAATGAAGCGGGGGAAATCGGAGGGGTGGACGAACCATGAGAGACGATGGACTCTGAAAAACAAACTGAGGGTTCTAGAGGGGAGGGGGGTGGGAGGATGGGTTGGCCTGGTGGTGGGTATTGAGGAGGGCACGTTCTGCATGGAGCACTGGGTGTTGTGCACAAACAATGAATCATGGAACACTTCATCTAGAACTAATGATGTAATGTATGGGGATTAACAGAATAAAAAAAAAAAAAAAAAGCAGTGCACAATGAGGCACGACACACACACATACACGTACACGCACTCACTGTGTTAGGAATTGAGACAATAGACCCAACTCTGACCATACTAGCACAAGAGTATCAGAGACTGTGAGAATGTGAGGGAGAAATTGCTCTGAGCTTTTTTTCTTAGAGGGTTGATTAGGCAAATTTAAGATATTTTCAGCTCAGAAGCACCTACCTGGGTGGCTCAGTCGGCTGAGCGTCCAACTCTTGGTTTCTGCTCAGGCCCTGATCTCTTGGCTCCTGGGATTGAGCCCGCAGATGGGCTCTGCAGTCAGTGGGAGTCTGCTTGGATATTCTCTCCCTCTGCCCCTTCCCCGACTCCTTATCTCTCTCTCTCTCTCAAATAAATAAATAAATCTTTAAAAAAAGGATATTTTCAGCTCAAAGGTTCTATGATATTTGATCTAAGTGGTATGAACATTCAAACAGTAAAATGTTAGTGAAACAAAAGGACAGTTTGAAAGCTAGTCACAGATTCCAGGGTTGGAGAGAGACACATGTGACATAGGGAATAACTAACTATTGAGACAGGGAATAACTATTGAGACTGAAAAGTGTTCTGGGCTGGAAGTTGTTCTTGTTGTGCCAAATTCACAGAAATCTAGAAAAATCCTCTCATTACCACCATGGCAGGTAGAAGCCATTCCTAGGCATTCCTCCCCATGTCCTAGGCAACTACATAGCAGACAGTTTTTTCAGAGTTGGAGGAGTTACATAGAAACACATGGGAACGATGTAAAGTTACAGAAATATGGTTGATGCTTCCCTTTTATTTTAAAGTCTGTGCTGAGCATTTGCAGACCAAAAGACTGGGAATTCTTACAATTACCAGTCCTACATTATACAACAAGCAGACCAATGTGAATTAGATGAGTTTAGTGTTCAAAAGGTCAGCTGATGATGTAGAGCCAGGAGAGCTATGAAATAAAAAGATTGTTTGCAGTAATTTATTCTAAGTAATTAAGGGTCTTAAACCTAGTGAATCACTTCTAGAACAAAGACAATGCAGCAAATGTAATGGGATGTCACTTCTGAGATTAGGTTAAAAACGATGTTGACTTTTATCTTCTCTCTCTCTCTCTTAGTCTCTCTCTTGGTCACTCTGATGAACTGTGTGTTGTGTGCTGCTCTGGGGAGAGAGACATGTGACAAGGAACGGAGGGCAGCGTCTGACCAACATGCAGTGAGAATCTGAGGTCCTCAGTCTGGGAACTTGTGAAGAACTATATCCTTATCCTGAGAGCCTGAAGATGAAACCAGAGTCCACACCTTGATTATAGCCTTGTGAGACACTTTGAGTTAGTGACACAGCAAAGCTGTGCTTAGATTCCTGATCTGCAGAAACTGTGAGATAACAAATATTCTTGCTTAAAGCCACCAAGTTTTGTTATGTAGCAGTGGAGAATTGATACAAATATATCACAACAGTGTATTTGTTTCCTGTGGCTGCTCTAACAAATTACCAGAAATTTGATGGCTTAAAACAACAGAAATTTAGGGCGCCTGGGTGGCTCAGTTGGTTAAGCGACTGCCTTCAGCTCAGGTCATGATCCTGGAGTCCCTGGATCGAGTCCCGCATCGGGCTCCCTGCTCGGCGGGGAGCCTGCTTCTCCCTCTCCCACTCCCCCCTGCTTGTGTTCCCTCTCTCGCTGTGTCTTTCTCTGTCAAATAAATAAATAAAATCTTTAAAAAAGAAAACAACACAGAAATTTATTCTCTCACAATTCTGGAGGCCAGAAGTCCGAAATCTTTATCACTAGTAAGAAATCAGGGTGTTGGCAGGGCTGCACTTCCTCTGGAGCCTCTAGGGGAAAATCCTAGCCTTGCCTCTTCCAGCTTCTGGTGGCTGCTGACATTCCTTGGCTTGTGATCCTGTTACTCCAGTCTTCAAGGCCAGCACCTTCAAATCTCTCTCAGCTCCATCTTCACATTGGCTTTACTCACGTACATGTGCGTGTGTGTGTGTGTGCGTGTGCGTGTGTGTGTGTGAGAAGTACCCCTCTGACTCCCTCTCATAAGGATACTTGTGTTTGCATTTAGGGCCCACTCAGGTAACCCAGGCAATCTCCCCATGTCAAGCTCCTTAACTTAATCACATCTTTTTTTTTTTTTTTAAAGATTATATTTATTTATTTGAGAGAGAGAAAGAGAGAGAGCAAGAGACAGCATGAGCCGGGAGGAGAGGAAGAAGCAGACTCTCCAAGGGGAGGGAGAGCCTGATGTGGGGCTTGATCCCAGGACTCTGGGATCACGACCTGAGCCGAAGGCAGATGCTTTAACTTAACCAACTGAGCCACTCAGGCGCCCCATTTAATCACATCTTTAAAGATGCTTGTTCCATATAAGGTAACAACTCTAGGTTCCAGGTTTTCAGATGTGAATATCTTTTGGAGAGCTATTTTTCAGCCTATTACAAATAGCTAATGTTTAAAAACTCTTATTATGTACCAGATACCATGGTAAACACTTTACCTGTATTTTTATTTACGTGCACTTCATTAACTTGTACTATTATTCCTCATTTATACCCAAAGAAACTGAGTCTCAGAGAGTTTGAGTGACTTGACTCAGGTCACACAGCTGGTAAGTGGTGAAGCCAGGGTGAACCCAAGCAGTCTGACCTCAGAGCTTGTACATCTAACTGCTCAGCTGGATTGTCTTCGCACAGATTCATATGCTTAACCTGACTAATTAGAAGAGGGTATATCTATTTCACTGCATGTAATATATTCAGTGAGCTCCTATTAACAGTGTGTCTTTTGATATCTTTATAATTTCCAAGTTAAAAAAAAAAAAACCCTTTTAGTTATTTTTAAGAAGAGACATTTGAACTGGGAGGAACTTCTGTATCAGTATCCTATTGCCTAGAGCAGACAGATCAAGTAAATAGCCTTTCTTACAGAATGGATCCTGGATAGGCTCTATTCCTCTTTGGGTGTGCTGCATTTACATAAACCCAGTCTCTGGTGTGGAGGATCTAAAGAGCTGGAATAGCCAAACTGGACTCTTATCTGCAAGGCTCTCCAGGAGAACGGGTTGCTTCGAGCACTTAGAGGCACTTCTCCATAGTTAGTTCTGGATGGATTTATTTTAGCTTTCCTGGGAAAAGTGGGTCTAGAGATGAAATCTGAATGAAGGTAGAAAAGAGGTGATTCTTATATTGATCACAGTTCAAAATGAGAATATGTATAATGGATTCCAGATTAGGTTCTGCTTAGCATTTGCTCTGCTATTTCTTTGTTTGCTGATTTTCTACGTATGACCTGGTAGTCTAAAAATTCAGCTCACACAGAAACTTCAGCCCTGTGTAGATTTAAGCTTTAGGTTTATGAATCTCTTTTCCATATGTTTCTTTATGGAAACAGATTCCAAATGTAAGAAAGTAATGGTGTCAGGGACTTTAGAGATATTTCCTGAGCTTTTGTTTTTATTGCCACTGCATTAATGAAGGCATGGCCATCCCTGCCCTGATGCGACCTGCCTGAGCAGGTGTGCAGATGGCTAGAGGGCTGGGGAGGTGGGACTCAGATGGCAGATGGTGATGCCTTGTTATGCTTCCAAATACACTTTGAACATTCTGTCCCTCCTCCGACATGCTTCACTTCAGATGGCAACCTCATTTGGAGGTGAATTGTTCTTTGCGGGTTTTTTTTTTTTTTTTTCCATGTTGGAATTGACCTCATGCCTGGCACTGTGTGAAATGTATTGGCCTAGTTTCTGCCCCAGAGAGGACAGAGGCTTATTGATATTTAGTGTATGCCTTGTCATTGATTTTAGAAGGGATCTTCTGATTTTATCATGATTACCCAGACACTGGCACTATTGTATTTACATTAAAGCAGTATCTCTCCAAGGACAGATGCTTCATGTATAAAGGAATTCCTCAGTCAGATTAGTTGGGATGATTGAGGAAGAAAGCGTTTTGATGGCAGATGAGGTGAGAAAATATTGATTTCCATCCCCTCATCCCCCATCACCTTTTATAGCCGACACTCACACCTTATCTCTTCAACCCCTCTCTGAATTTAGCCCTGGTAGATGTTTCTGGAAAGTGGATAGCTTCCTACCTTGAGCTGGCTCTCTTCTTTGCCTGAGGGCTTTCTTTAGCACTCTGGGAACTTCTGGGCTCCCTGCAGTTACAACCTGGAAGTGTAGGGCTATTCATACCCTCAGGGACACCTCTTAACCATTGGGAGGCTGGACTTAATAGATAAATGCCTAAGTCTCCCCACTTTCTGTGGAATGTTCTGAAGCCACATCATAGTTTCCCAGAGAGTTTCCAGCAGAACTGAGCTCCAGTTGCTCACTGCTAACTTGTTCACTAACATAAGTGATAGGGCTTTTCTCATTTCCCTATCTCAATTTTCCCTGTCTCATTTGTGTTTTCTACTTTTGCTTCTTACATAAACTACCTGTACCCGAGTCCTTGTCTGAGAGTCTGTTTTTGGAAGACCCCTCCTTTGGATAGTCCTAATGCACAGGTTTGAGAAGTCCTGGAGTAGAGAAATTCATTTAATCCTGTTCCCTAAACTTACAGTTTCATGAATATATATATATATATTTTACTGTTAAGTTTTATGTATCTAATGTTCTTTACAATATAATTCCTGAATGACTTTGGTTCTTGGAGTTATCTGAGAGAGGTATCTTTTAGTAGTGTCCCATGAAGGAGCCCACAGATTCCCTTTTACAACACATTTTTGTCTTTGGGTAGATACCCCTATCAAAAACCTCAAGGTCACATCTCTGAAAGGGACCTTAGAGTCTAGTTGCCTCACTCTATCAATGGAGAAACTAAGACCTAGAGTGGGTCACTGTCACCTGGTTCAGTCATCTGAGATTTTATAAGGAGTGTGCAGAGAAAAAGGGTTAGGAAACTGTGGCTCATAGGTAAAACTCAGCCTGCTGACTATTTTTGTACAGCCTGCGAGCTAAAAATAGTTACTACATTTTTAAATGGTTGACAAAAATTTTTAGAGAATATTTCATGACATGTGAAAATTAATATGAAATTCTAATTTCAGTGTCCACAAATAAAGTTTTATTGGGACACAGACACACCCATTTATGTGGTGTCTGCAGCTGCTTTAGTGTCACAATGACAGAGTTGAGTAGTTGTGACAGAGACTGTATGATCCGCAAGCCTAAGATATTTTTTTTAAGATTTTTTTTTTTTATTTATTCATTTGAGACACAGAGATACAGAGAGAGAGAGAGAGAAAGAGGGAGAGAGCATGAACAGGGAGAGAGGCAGAGGGAGAGGGAGAAGCAGGCTCCCCGCTGAGCAGGAAGCCCGATGCAGGGCTCGATCCCAGGACGCTGGGATCATCACCTGAGCCGAAGGCAGACGCTTAACCATCTGAGCCACCCAGGCGCCCCTGCAAGCCTAAGATATTTACTATTTGGTCCTTTATAGGAAAAGTTTGCCTATCCTTGCTTTAGATTCACAAGACAAGATGAAGGGAAGTGCATAGTCAATATACATATTAGCATAAATCAATAGAGTGTAGCAGATAAGTCACTGAATTGGGAGTAGTGTGTGACAGTTCTATTCCTTGCAGCGCTGCTAACAAGCTTCATTGGATTTTGGTTAAATGACATTATGTCTTTAAATATCAGTTTCCTCATTTATAAAATGGAGGGACTAGACTGAAGGCCTTTTAAACTCCCTTAATGATTGAACCGTGTTTTCTTAGACTTTGTATTTGTTTGTGTGGCATCCATTAATCACAGGGCCATACTAATGGCCCGAATTGTTTAGACCCCCTGCGATGCAGCTTTTGCAGATGTGCAAAAATCATATTACAAACTCCCCAGCTAATCCCAAGTCCACACCTCCAACCACCTCCTTTATCTAACTCTCATATCCCAGGCCAATATTTCCCTGCTCTAGTCAGTCAGGGCCAGGTACCAGACAACTAGAGACCACTCCTTATAGTCCAGAGGCTGCCAACATTACTCAAACTAGCCAGTCCTAAGCTACTTTCCCTTCCCTGCCTTGCCTTTTCCATGGAAAACACAATCAAGGCTCTAGGTCATGTTTCCCCTCTTTCCTGCTTCTGCCTCTTTATCCACTCTGGTGCTTCCCAATGTGTCCCTGTGTAGAGTGCTTTTCTCCCATTTCCAAGGGAACCATGAGTATCAATAAACTTTTCTTTTGGTGGCCTTGACCTCATTCTCTTGTCACTTAGTCACTTTTATAAATTAAGACTTGGACGCACATCGCTTAAGCACAAATAATTATAAAGCTGTGCAATTATCTCAGAGTTCAGTGTATATAATTCAAGAATGTGATTTGTTCCTCATGTTCAACCCAAGCCAAATCTCCTTTATTGCAGCTCATTTCTATCACTCCTCATCCGTGAGCTGTGAGAAAGCAAACACGGGCTGCATCCTTGCCACACAGGGAGCCTTTGACTATTTCTAAAGTTCATATGACTTGTTAGTAAGTCTTGTG